GGGGCAGAGGGAGAGGAAGAATCAGACTCCCCACTGAGCAGGGAGCCCGATGTAGGGCTCGATCCCAGGACCCTGAGATCATGACCTGAGCCGAAGGCAGACGCTTAACCAACTGTGAGCCACCCAGGCACCTGGGAAAGAGAGAATCTTAAGCAGGTTCCACACCCGGTGAAGAGCCCAAAATGGGGCTTGATCTCAGAATGCTGAGATCATGACCTGAGCCCAAATCAAGAGTCGGATGCTGAACAGACTGAGCCATGCAGGCAACCCTACAGTAGGTTATTTAAACGTAATAGTTATTAAGCAGTATATCTGAAATTAAGTTACTTATAATTCTGTACACTATTTAGATCTAGGGAATGAAAGCCAGAAATAATAAATTAGGCAGTAATAATAATGAATTAAAGTTGAGTGATTTAGGGGCATCTGGGTGGCCTAGTCAGTTAAGTGTCTGCCTTCAGCTCAGGTCATGATCCCAGGGTCCTGGGATTGAGCCCTCGGTCAGGCTCCCTGCTCAGCAGGGGAATCTGCACTCCCTCTCCCTCTCCTTGTGTGCTCTCTCTATTGCGCACACTCTCTCTCAAATAAATAAAATCTTTTTTTAAAAAAAGTTGAAAGATGTAATGTACAAGTGCTCAAACATGTTTAATGGTACAGCTGAGTGTACTGGGGGCACAGATTAACCGTATCAGTAACATTTAGTGATTTTTTTTTTTTTAATGCCATTTGACATGAAGCAGCATCTTTCATACCCATTCTGATAGTTGGTCAGAAATGCAGGTCATAATAATATAATCCATAAATCTGTAAATCTAGTTTTATAAAGTATCTATGGATATTATAACACTTTTTACAGTGTAAGCAAGTTCATCTGTTACTGTATAAGTTCTATATTTCAGAATTGTTACAGTCTACTATTTTTCCCAAATTAAACTTTAATCAATGTAACCAGTCTTATCTATCTGATCATTTTACCATAGTGGTTATTAAGGTACACAGTTTATAACTCATTTCAGTGTGAGGTAGAGTTCTTTCTGGGAAAATACCTACAAGCACCAAAAACAACCAAAACAAATGCAGAAAAGGAAGAAATTTATTTGATTAATTTATAAATTGGTTAGTGAGCTAATGTGAGTTACTTTTTTATGGAGAGGAGTTATAATAACTTATGTCTGTTCTAGGAAAGTATCTAGAAGAACCATTTCTACAGATCATTTGAGATTGAACCTAATACAGTTCTCTGCACAAGCAGATGCTTAATCTTGATGATTGAAGTTGAACTTTCATGTATTTTGTTACGAAATTTTATTTCTTTGTGTTGGCAATAGCAATTCTTACTTTTTTTTTTTTTTTTTTTAATGGTTGTAGATGTGAGTATGCAGTGCTCACAGGATATACTTCGAATGCTCCTATCTCTTCAGCCAGTTCTTCAGGATGCTATTCAGAAAAAAAGAACAGTAAGGCCTTGGGGAGTTCAAGGTCCTCTCACTTGGCAACAATTTCATAAAATGGCTGGCCGAGGCTCTTATGGTAAGTAATTTATAGTAATGTGTATTGACTGATTTTATATCAGCCCTTTATTTTTGTGCCCAACTTGGAATAAGCACATTTGTCTTCCTTAAATATTTTTGTAGCATATGCTTGACTTAAGGCCAGGGTGGTCAATCTTAGCCTTCATTACTTTGAGCATTTCCAATATTTAATTTATTAGGTTCTCCAGCCCCTCTTCAGAAAGAACAGCTTCCCTTAGATCTATTTTTACAGATTAGACTCACTAGTAAGATTTTATATGAAGAAAGAATCATATTGCCAAAATTTTTTAAATAAATGAACACTACTTTCATTGTAAATTATCACTTTACAAAGTTGAATGAAGAATGGGGCAAAAAGAAGAGGCTACTACTAGTGATGAAAGACCCCAAGTTCTTCATTTAAAAAAAACCAAAAACCAAAAAAAACAAATTTGCTGGTTGTGAGAGTAGCAAATGAATACCCTAAATATGGTACACAGTACAGGGGTGCCCGGCTGGCTCAGTCGGTGGAGCATGTGGCTCTTGATCTCAGGGTTGTGAGTTCAAGCTCCACATTGGGTGTAGAGATTACTTAAATATGAAATCTTTAAAATATATGTATGGGGCACCTGGGTGGCTCAGTTGGTTAAGCGACTGCCTTCGGCTCAGGTCATGATCCTGGAGTCCCGGGATCGAGTCCCACATCGGGCTCCCTGCTCA